AAAAACAAAACACTATGGTAAAAAAAAAAAGGCAATCTGCCTTCTTGCTTTAGCTCTTTCTGGGGTGCTGGTTTGCATATATTCCCAGAACGGAAAAACATCTTAAGCTGGAAAAATAGCTTAAGCTACAGGGCAGATGATCCCATCACATTTCCAGCAACAAAGATTGGGGGCTACATTAAGTACTAACGATCCAACTATCAGTGGCTTAAACTTGTTATTGGAAAAGTTTTGTCTCACATTCACAACAATGATTTTGTCCAACGTATTTTGGGAAACACTATCGGGAAACGCCAAGAACTTTTATAAATTTCCTGATACACATAATCTTTCAAACTTACACTTAGAGCATGGCTCCGAAGGTGTTCCTGCCGAGTGAAACGTTTCCCACACGTCTCACAGGGGTAGGGTCTCTCACCTGTGTGAGAGCGAATGTGCCGCTTCAGTATTCCTTTCTGTTTAGCCGTGTAGGGGCAGAATGGACATTTGTGAAGCTTGATGGGCACAACTAAGACATCACCTTTTGGGGAGAAAACACAACGTATTAGGTTAGGCAGTTCACCAGCGTTAGCTGTGTTGGCTTCTTACCCTCCGTGCTGCACATCTGAGTCAGGATGGTTGCACTTTCCCCTCTTGTTGTATTTGGCTTACCTGGAATTTCCATAGGCTGTGCAGTTGCAGAAGACGTTCATGCAGCTGCAGATGGCCCAGTCCCTTGAAAATCAGCCTGCCTGTACTGACACAGCTGATACTCCAAGGGAGTTGGCTCACAACAGAAAAACAATTTTATTTTAAGAAGCCATTTAATTAGGTGCCAAAATTTTGCTTTTAGTGCAGTGGAGCCTCTGCACTATCTCAGCCATAGAAAGTCTCCTGTTTTGTTTTTTTTTTTAAGATACCATTAGCATTAAACAGCATTAAAAATTAAAATCTTTAACGCAAACTACAGGTAGAAGTAGTCCAATGTTTCCCATGTGCTTTTACAAAGTGCATAAATTTAGATGTGGGGAACCCATCTAAAAATATGAATGCTTGTTTCTGCTGCCATTCACATTAGCCATTCAGTCGGTAATAACAAGATGAAGGACTCCAATACATTTGCTGATAATATTTTACTACTCCGAAAATCAAACTATATGTACACAAGTAATATGTAATTTGTGAAGTCATATGCAAAAAGAGAATTAAATTTGAAGATCACATTATAGAAAAACGTGGGTATTGCTAAGTTTTTCGGCATCAGCCCAGATAGGAGCTTCCTTTCCAGCACGAAGGCTGACATGTTATACTAAAAGATTCGTTTTCCCTGTTCCAGGTACTGATTGAGCAAAGTGCTTGCGTATCAAGCCTTGAGCTCTGCAACAGTTCCACCAACGCAGGTGGGGCTGTAGAACATTCCTTGTGCTATTGTCCAGCCCAGGCTCAAAAAAAGGAGTGTCCAGTGTTACCGTGTGGCTATCAAGGGAAATTCATCTCACCCGATTTTGGACCTTCACAAGGTATTGCTAATTCCTCTGTTTGAAAACACAAAACCAGTTCTTAGGCCTGCCTTGCTTCCAGGCTCTCCAGACCTGCCCGTTTACCCTCCGTCAGCTGCGAAGGGGACCAGGAGGACTGGACAGATGCAGACACTTGCAGTAAGGGGCATTTATCTCATCTGTCACCCCAAATGCGCAAGAGCACCGTTCTTTTATCAGGACTTTGCATTTCTCATTCCTTGTGCCTCGTGAAAATGGAAAGATAGCAGGACCATTAAAAGCTGAGAAGAGATACTTCCATTCTACTAAATGCTTACGATGTTTGGTTTTAGCAGAGAAACACAACTGAATGCAAGGTCTGGGTTTTTTTCCCCACTCCTATTTAAAGCACATCTACCATTAACATTCCTAATATGTTGTCACAACACCCGATGTTCTCCATCACATTCTAGCAGCATTTCCCTTTTAATGATTCATTAACAGTCTGAAGATTTTAAGAGGGAAAAGAAGCGAGCAAAGTTTGTGTGCATGTTAGATGCTCTTGCCTTGCTACACGTCAAAAACCACAGGCAAGGCCTGGTGGCAGCACTCTGTTCTGAGAGCTTCAGTCTTCTGGTGACTGTATGACTGGATTTGTAATTTTTCTCAGAGTCCTTATTTTAAAGCAGTGAGAGACAATATTGGTTTTATTGGCTTTAAGATCACACGTCCATGCTTGAGCTGGAAATGACATGAATGTGAGCTTGCTATCTGGAGTCAATATTCAGTCTGCTGCCCGCACCATTATCGCATTTGTCACATCCTAAACAGTGATGGCACTCGCAGCGCCTGTCGGAGCCGCCTCCCCTCGTCATAAGGCAGTTTGGACAAGGCAAGCTGTGCACCAACATTACCGTGAGCAGATAAAATGCTCAAATCCTTATTTTCCACTTCAGAAGAGATGAATATGGACATGACCTTCTCTTCTCCAAGTCCCTGACATTGCTGCTAGGAGATATTCCT